AAGGTTGGGAGATAATGCACATAGCATACTTAGAACAGTGACAGGCACATATTAAATACTTGATAAATTTATTAATATTAATCCAGCTGAGCAAAGAAAGGGAACTAATGCAGTGGAGATAAGCTGTTCTGTGTAAAACTGACAGACAACATCTTCATTGGTTATTATCAAAGAAAAAGAGTCAATAATGGGCTGCATTATTTATAGATGTTCTAATACTTCTTGGTGTGTTTGCTTATTAAAACAAATAATGAAGTTTTCCTGTTGCTGTATTTTGGGAAACAAAACTTATGAAAAAAGACCTAACAGGTTAGTTGCCACTTGTAACTTTTGTCATTGAATGACAAATTATGGCCTAGTTTTCTGTATACATAATTTATGTTGATGAATTTCGCTAGATTTTTCTGTTTTTTTCCATCCTTTTTGTTCTGTTTCTTGCAGGCTTCCTGGTTAATCAGTTATTTCAGCAATGTTTACTACTTGTAAAACAAAAAGGATGAATGGTATGTGGCAAATATAAGTTGATGAGGCATGGATGGAATTAATTTTAATGAGAACTCTCAGAGGCCTGAAATTTGTTTAATTAAGAAGCCTGTGCAAATTCTGATATGCCTTTCACATGTCATATGTTTTCATCTGTTGAGCATTAGTGAACTCTGTTAGGTTAGCATCTGTTGAGCATTAGTGAACCATGTTAGGTTAGCATCTGTGAACTGCTAGGTTTAAAAAATTTTGTTTTAGTACTCTTTTTTTTTTTGAGACGGAGTATCGCTCTTGTTATCCAGGCTGGAGTGCGATCTCAGCTCACCGCAACCTCCGCTTCCTGGGTTCAGGCAATTCTCCTGCCTCAACCTCCCGAGTAGCTGGGATTACAGGCAGGCGCCACCATGCCCAGCTAATTTTTGTATTTTTAGTAGAGACGGAGTTTCATCATGTTGACCAGGATGGTCTCGATCTCTTGACCTTGTGATCCACCCGCCTCAGCCTCCCAAAGTGCTGGGATTACAGGCGTGAGCCACCGCGCCCGGCTTGTTTTAGTACTCTTGAGGTGTCATCACAGAAGTCTGTATTCTCCCTGATATTACAGTAGCCACCATGGTACAGATGCTTATACGTTGTGTTATTTAGTGCTGATGAAACCATGAAGAATTATTCCGTTTTTTTTTTTTTTTTTTTTTTTTTTTTTTGAGACAGAGTCTTACTCTTGTCACCCAGGCTGGAGTGCAATGGTGTGATCCAGGCTTGCTGCAGCCTCCGCCTGCCGGGTTCAAGTGATGCTCCTGCCTCAGCCTCCCGAGTAGCTGGGATTACAGGTGCCTGCCATCATGCCTGGCTAATTTTTTTTTGTATTTTTAGTAGAAGTGGGGTTTCATCATGTTGGCCAGGCTGATCTTGAACTCCTGACCTCAAGTGATCTGCCCACCTTTGCCATCCAAAGTGCTGGGATTACAGGCATGAGCCACTGCACCTGGAAAATTATCCCATTTTCTAGATGAAGATAACCAAGGCTTAGAAACGTATTCAAAGTGACATGCCAGTAAGTGGGAGAGCCAGAATTTGAAAATTGGATTTTGATTTTAAAATTTGTGCTTTTAAAAAATAGGCTGCCAACTGCTTCTCTAACAGACAGTAAATTAGAAGACCGCAAAACTGACCCTCTGCAAGATGGCCAGGCTTGTTGATTGCCTGCTGCTCACACTAATCCCTGCCCTCACTTTACTGTCCAATTTTACTGAACAGAATCATGGGTGTAAAGGGTTAACTTGAAGAATCATCCAGTTTAGTGGGTCTAGCCAGTCATAAGAATTTATTTTGTTTTAAATTATGATTAAGTAGGTTTGAGCTGGAGCCCAGGAATCTGTGTTTTAATTGGCTCTGCATGTGATTTTTGACAGTCTGACAGGTTTGGGAACCATTTCAATTTAGTTACATGAATCCTCCCTCCCAATATTCTCTTTAATTTTCCTGACAGGTAGTCATCTAATGTCTGACACCCATTTGTGATAGGCACTCACTGTCACATTGCCAGGAATGTGCAGTTAGTTGCAATGCTCTTTTTCTATAGAAGTAACCATGGATTTGATTAATTTCTTTGGTCAGATTTTTATACTTCTTAGGTTTTGGCATCAAGTGTTCTTAAATCTTCTCTGAACCTGGCCTTCTTCATGAATAAAATGAGTATGTTGTTATCTACCCTGAGGGCTTATCAGTAATTAAATGAAAAAATAAACTGTCCTGTCTGGAAAGATTCTTGAATGCCTTCAAATAGCCTTTTCTTATAGTTCCCTTACCGTATCAGTCAATTCTGAAACACTCTCATGTCTTCAGAGTTCCAGTTAGAAGTGTAGGTAATGATAGAGGGCTCCTAGATAATTCATTTTGGGATTGTTAGTGCCAGAAATATGTTATCATTTTGCCTTCTCATCAGCATACTTCTTTACCTCTGGCTTTTTCTTTCGGCAAAGTTTATGATGGACACCTCTTACGGGTACAGATAAGGCTGCATTTCTGGAAATTTGCTTTACTCCTTAGAGTTTCCACTAATAACTTGAACCCAAAGCAAAACAAGTGATTTGCAGGAAGACTTCAAAGCTAAAGAAAAGACTTTCTTATATTGTATAGAGACCAAAGTAGAGAATCAAAGAAATATTCCATGTCTCTTTCCTATCCAAGGGGAGAGAGAGGTAATGGGTGAGTGTTGTCCATAGAAAAGGATAAATGATCAAATGCAAGGCTGGATAAGACTGCTCAAGACCCTGAAAATAATCTCTTATCACTGTAGTTTAATTTGGTTTGGTTGTTGAGATGTATGCTGTCTTGCTTTTCTTTCTTTCTTTCTTTCTTTTTTTTTTTTTTTTGAGATGGAATCTTACTCTGTCGCCTAGACTGGTGTGTGGTGGTGCGAACTCTGCTCACCACAATCTCTGCCTCCAAGGTTCAAGCAATTCTCCTGTCTCAGCCTCCCCAGTAGCTGGGATTACAAGCACCTGCCACCACACCTGGCTAATTTTTGTATTTTTAGTAGAGACAAGGTTTTACCATGTTGGCCAGGCTGGTCTTGAACTCCTGACCTCAGGTGATCCACCCGTCTCGGCCTCCCAGAGTGCTGGGATTACAGATGTGAGCCACCACGCCCAGCCATCTTGCTTTTCTTAACCAAAGCAAACTTGATCTGTTCTATAGTATTAACTTAGAATATGAGTTGTGTTTCCCTTAAGGCTCAGATACTAAGAAGAGTTTGTAGGTGATAGTCTTCTGCAGGCTTGAGTGAAATACGGTAAAATAATTATTTTTTCTTCACTAAGTTTGTGTTAGATTTCTAGTTTCAAAATGTTTTTGAATATAACATCTTGAAAATACTACTTTGGGTTAAAGTTTCTTCATGTGAGTGCTTTTCAACAGGTAATTTTAGTACTTCGGACACTTAAATTTTTTTTCTTTTTGCCATTATCTTCATGAATACAACATTGAACATGTTTTTATTTTTAAAAAGTGTATCTAATATATGCAACTTACTGGTCAGAACTGTTAAAGATATCCAATACATTTTCATGAAATTATAGTTATCCTTTGATTTTTCAGGAAAATGATTTCATTTGAGTTCTTTTTTTTTTTTTTTTTTTTTTTTTTGAGATGGAGTTTCGCTCTTGTTACCCAGGTGGAGTGCAATGGCGTGATCTCGGCTCACCGCAACCTCTGCCTCCTGGGTTCAGGCAATTCTCCTGCCTCAGCCTCCTGAGTAGCTGGGATTATAGGCATGCGCCACCATGCCCAGCTAATTTTTTGTATTTTTAGTAGAGACGGGGTTTCACCATGTTGACCAGGATGGTCTCCATCTCCTGACCTCGTGATCCACCCGCCTCAGCCTCCCAAAGTGCTAGGATTACAGGCGTGAGCCATCGCACCTGGCCAGTCATTTGAATTCTTAATTGTGGTTTTTATCATTTGCACCCAGGAGTTCCAGACCAGCCTGGGCAACATAGTGAGACCCCAGCTGTACAAAAAAAAATTTTTTTTTAATTAGCTGGGCATGGTGGCACGTGTCCTAGCTACTAGGAAGGTTGAGGTGGGAGGATTGCTTGAGCTCAGGAGGTCAGGGCTGAGGTAAGCCATGATTGTACCACTGTACTTCAACCTGAACAACAGAGCAAGACCTTGTCTCAAGAAAAAAAAAATTGGGGTCTTCCTCTAGTGGGGAAACATCTCTGTTCATTTGACAATAGAGGTAGTGGATGGAGTGTAGAGAGCAAAGCCAATTCACTTGACTCTCCTTTTAAATTTACTATTTTAGTTCATTTGCAAGAAAGTCGCTCTGAAGTATTGGAGTATTAGGTTATAGAGTATTCAGGAAAATGATACAATTTAATTAATTATGGAAACTTGTATTAAACTTAATGTTGCCAAATCTTTTTTTTTTTTTTTTTTTTTTTGAGATGAAGTCTTGCTCTGTTGCTGCAGCTAGATTACAGTGGCGCAATCTCAGCTCACTGCAACCTCTGCCTTCCAGGTTCAAGCGATTCTTCTGCCCCAGCCTCCCAAGTAGCTGGGATTACAGGTGCTCACTACCACACCTGGCTAATTTTTGTATTTTTAGTAGAGGCAAGGTTTCACCATATTGGCCAGGCTGATCTCAAACTCCTGACCTCAAGGGATCTGCCCGCCGTGGCCCCCCAAAGTACTGAGATTACAGGCATAACAAGCCATTATTCTTAATGAAAAGAGCAGGATGAGTGCAGTGGCTCACATCTATAATCCCAGCACTTTTGGAGGCCAAGGCAGGAGAATTGCTTGAGCCCAGGTGTTCAAGACCAGCCTGGAAAACATAGCGAGACCCCCATTTCTACAAAGTACATCAATAAATAAAAAGAAGGGACTGTATGCTATTAGAGCCATCTGTAACTTTCATTCATGTCATCAATCCGAAGTAGGAAGCAAATGATATGGTGTCAATTTTATGAAGTAATTTTATGTGTTGTCTTTTTTTGTGTTTTTATTTTTAGGACCGGAGTAGGCCCTATGACACTTTTAACTTGCACTCGTTGGAGAACTCCTTAATGGATATGATAAGGACTGATCATGAGCCTCTGAAAGGTAAACACTACCCTCCCAGTGGCCCACCAATGAGTTTCGCTGATATAATGTGGAGGAATCATTTTGCAGGTTAGGAATATTCATATGTCCATTTCTTGCTTGGTGTTTTAAGCAAAAATCAGCTTCTTAATAATTTTGATTTTTCTCGTTTGTTTTTTGTTTGCTTGTTTTTGTTTTGCTTCTGTAAAGCATTGTGGAATGTATTTAAAGTTGATTTTTTTCTTTAACCTGGGTTCAGCTATGTATGATAATCAAGGTGGTTATAATCAGTCATGTCTGGCAGGAACATGAATTGAGTAGCTGAGGTCAGTCACATCCTGAGTTATAGCATGAGACCAGCAGCCAGATTTTCTGGACTGTGTTCATTTGGAATCCTCAGCTGAAACTGGATAATTCGTTTAAGTCCATGTATATATACTGCAAGGAACTGTCAGAGTTAGTAAACCAATCTCCAAAGATTGCTTCAGAAAGCTTCATATAAAGGACTTCTATTTTATTAAAGCATAATCACCTTTCTAGTATAGGAAGTATCACTACCCAGGCTTAGGGGCAGCCAGTGACCCTTTGCATTCTCTGAGGCTAAAACACAAGAAAAAAATATCTTAAAGTATATAAATGTTTTGGGTTAAATATAAGGCAGAAAGGCTCAAAGTTAGCAATATTAGGACTTCCTGTTTTTAGAGCCTATGTAGATTCAGGACTGAAGTTGGTGTTGAATTAATAATTATAGATCTTTTTATGGATTATAGGACTTTTTAGAGACCTTATGATATTTTAAAATACTGTAATGAAAATTACCTATGGAAATAGGCATTATACTTGGGTTAAGATCTAAATTTCTGAAAACTGTGAAGAGGTAGCCATGGGGATGCCCATCTTGTATGAACCATGTCTTTCAAAATCGTGAGGAATGTGATCCCCTCTGGTTCTCTCTAGGCCCATATTATAGTGTGAATGACTGTGAACACCAGATGCTCATTTCCTTGAGCCACACCAGGAATCTCTTTCATCATTTTCTTGTCACACTCATGATTTTCTTCTGCTTTCCTCATTTTCCAGTGAAAAGAAAGTAGTTAATAAGTTATAAAGAAAAGAAGGGATTTTGGGGAAAGCTAGTTTTCTTTTTTTTTTTTCGAGATGGGGTTTCTCTTTTGCTCTTGTTGCTCAGGCTAGAGTACAATGGCATGATCTCAGCTCACTGCAACCTCTGCCTGTTGGGTTCAACCGATTCTCCTGCCTCTGCCTGCCAAGTAGCTGGGATTACAGGCATGCACCACCACACCTGGCTAATTTTGTATTTTTAGTAGAGATGGGGTTTCTCCATGTTGGTCAGGCTGGTCTCGAACTCCCAACCTCAGGTGATCCATCCACCTTGGCCTCCCAAAGTGCTGAGATTATGAGGTAAGCCACTGTGCCCAGCTGGAAAGCTAGATTATAAGACCTTCAGACATAGGAAAAAAAATGTTATTTACGCTTTGTTATATTTAGTCACTTTCACTTTGTTATATTTAGTCACTGCATAGTTTTCTTCATTGTACTTGTGAATATGAGGTTTCATCTATAGAAACAAGCTGCACACAGATGATATGTCCCAGTAAGTTGGGAGGCAATTAGTATGTATTTTTTTTTATAGCTTCAATATGGTTGCAACTTCACAGTTCATCATATCACCCACAGTGATTTTCCATGAATGGACTGCTTCCCAGTGGTCAGTGACATTGCTGATCACTGTCCTTTGGTTAGGGTGTTTGAGCTTTTTGCTTCCCTTTTTCAGCTGGGAGACTTTTAGATCTATCTGATTTATTGTGCCAAGTGTTTAATCCCTGTTACCTCTACTAACAATTATGATACTGGTGGGTTTTTTTTTTTTTTTTTCTGAGACAGAGTCTCGCTCTGTTGGCCAGGCTGGTGTGCAGTGGCACAATCTTGGCTTACTGAAACCTCTCTGTCCTGGGTGCAAATGATTCTTCTGCTTCAGCCTCCCAAGTAGCTGGGATAACAGGCACCCGCCACCTTGCCCAGCTAGTTTTTGCATATTTAATAGAGATGGGATTTCATCATGTGGGCCAGTGTGTTCCTAGACTCTTGACCTCAAGTGATCTGCTCACCTTGGCCTCCCAAAGTGCTGGAATTATGGGCGTGAGCCACCGTGCCCAGCCTATACTTGCATTTTAAGGAAAATATTTTAAATAATTTTTTACTTTAAAAAGTGGAGAAAATTGGACAGGCGCGCTGGCTCAAGCCTGTAACCCCAGCACTTTGGGAGGCTGAGGTGGGTGGATCACGAGGTCAAGAGATCGAGACCATCCTGGTCAACATGGTGAAACCCCATCTCTACTAAAAATACAAAAAATTAGCTGGGCATGGTGGCGCGTGTCTGTAATCCCAGCTACTTAGGAGGCTGAGGCAGGAGAATTGCCTGAACCCAGGAGGCGGAGGTTGTGGTGAGCTGAGATCGCACCATTGTACTCCAGCCTGGGTAACAAAAGTAAAACTCCGTCTCAAAAAAAAAAAAAAAAAAAGTGGAGAAAATTATAAAAAAAGATAACTAAAAAATGAAGATTACAATGGTGTGTTCTTTGTCTGATTCCCATGTAATAAACATTGTCCATGCTCTGTCAGATCTTTGTAATTTATTGGTAGGCCTTGACTTTAGACTTTTAGATTGTTTCCAGTTTTGCCTCCATTATAGATAATGCTGCCATGAATGAGTTCTTGCACATAGCTTTTCCTTAAGGTAAATTCATAGTGAGAGTCTTTGGGTCAAAAGATATAAACATTTAGGAGGATTGAGCTTTAAGAGAAGGATGGTAGGCTAGAGGAACTACCATGTGGCTTCTGTATGAGTCTGTCCAGAAGCACTTCCCTTTATACCATCTTGTTTTTCTTCATGCTTTCAATATCCTTTATTCCTACTTGAACATGGGGACACTGTTTTGAGGGCCTCAAAACTCAAGTACAGTGTAATGTTTTTATTTCGTTGTTGTTATTTGTTTATTTGTTTTGAGACAAAGTCTCACTCTTGTCGCCTAGGCTGCAGTGCAATGACACGATCGCCGCTCACTTCAACCTCCACCTCCTGGGTTCAGGTGATTCTTTTGCCTCAGCCTCCCGAGTAGCTGGGATTACAGGCACCTGCTACCACGCCCAGCTAATTTTTGTATTTTTAGTAGATACAGGGTTTTACCACATTGGCCAGACTATTGTTCTCAAATGCCTTATCTCAGGTGATCCACCTGCCTCAGCCTCCCAAAGTGCTGGGATTACAGGTGTCAGCACCGCACCCAGTCCCAGAGTAACTGGTTTTTGTTTTCCCTTTTTCTTCAGAAAAAAATACATTTTTACTCATAAGAAATCCAGGCCAGGTGTGGTGGCTCACGCCTGTAATCTCAGTACTTTGGGAGGCTGAGACAGGTGGGTCAGGAGTTCAAGTCAGCCTGACCAACATGGTAAAACATTGTCTCTACTAAAAATACAAAAACTAGTCAGGTGTGGTAGCTTGTGCCTGTAATCCCTGCTACTCAAGAGACTGAGGCAGGAGAATCGCTTGAACCTGGGAGGTAGAGGTTGCAGTGAGCCAAGATCACACCACTGCACTCCATCCTGGGTTTCAGAGTGAGACTCCATCTCAAGCAAAATAAAACAAAACAGAAATTCAAGTAGTACATAAAAGGACAAAAAGGAAAGTTAAAAAAATCACCAGAGACTCTTTATCTAGAGGTAAAAAAGGTTATTTATTTTTTATTTTTTATTTTTTATTTTATTTTTATTTTTTGAGACAGAGTGTCGCTCTTGTTACCCAGGCTGGAGTGCAATGGCACGATCTCGGCTCACCGCAACCTCCGCCTCCTGGGTTCAAGCAATTCTCCTGCCTCAGCCTCCTGAGTAGCTGGGACTACAGGCACGTGCCACCATGCCCAGCTAATTTTTTGTATTTTTAGTAGAGACGGGGTTTCACCACGTTGACCAGGATGGTCTCAATCTCTCGACCTCGTGATCCACCCGCATCGGCCTCCCAAAGTGCTGGGATTACAGGCTTGAGCCACCGCGCCCCGCCAAAAGGTTATTTTTATTAACATCCTTCAAGATATTTTATATTCTCCATTCAACTCAGCCTTTCTGACTTTGCAGTCAGTGAAACCTGGGTGTGAATTCTATCTCTGCCTCTGGCTGTCTGTTATTCTGGATAAATTAGCCTCTTCAAAGCCTCAATGTCCTTATTGTTAAAATAAATTACCTACTTTATAGAGTGAGTTTGAAGATCAAATGAAGTCCCTGGCACTAGAAACTGCTCAAAACAAAACAAAGAAACTCAAATAGTATGTAAAAGGACAAAAAGGAAAGTTTATTAAAAAATCACCAGAGATTGTCTACCTAGAAGTAACCGGTTATTATTTTTATTAACATCCTTCCAGATATTTTATATTCTTCATACAGGAGGTGAAATTTCAACTCAGCCTTTCTGACTGAGTTGTAGTCAGTGAAACCTGTGTGTGAGTTCTGGCTCTGTGAATTCTATTCACAATTTTTTGCTGGAAGTAGTCATGGTATCCTTACAATATTGGCTTCTTTCCAACTAAACTGCAGCTAAATGTTGAAATTTTTCAGATACAAGTGTCAAAATTTTATATTTTTCATAAATAAGTAGTGATTATTGAAGGATAAATGTCTTATCATTTTCAAAGCCACTTAAAGGAGAAAGGAAAAGAATTTTTTGGTTATTTTGACTTTCCAAAATTGTATTATCTGAATAACATAAAAAATATAAAATAGAATATCCAATTTATGGAGAATAAAGTACTTCAAGATGTACTTAAAGAACGTGGTAAAAATATGTTCACAATTATATTTTATCTTAGAAATGTATTTAGTAAAAAATCCCTTTATTCAACTGTCCTGATTCAAGGGAAGAAAAGGATTAGTGTGGGACATGACAGAATAGGAAGTTCAGGAGATAATGAGACTTCTGTTTTAGTAAAGTAAATAAGCTTTAATAGTTTTTCGGTCATGTATTCAGTTGACCAGCCTTGAAAATATTTGTGGGAACATCCCCCATGATAAAAATTATA